CACACATACACATTTCGACATCCTGGGAGCCTTGGGAGTGCACTTTGCGGTGAGACCACACATGCCATATGTGGCTGCGCAGGTTGAGGCAATGCGAAGACTTTACAGGCAAAATGCGGAGAATTGCAGAAGTTATTTAGAAATAATAATCCTTGGCTACAAGAGCCGTACCAAGTGTGGCCTCGGCCAAGGTTAGACAGGCAGTTGCTGGGCCAGTGTCCTCTCAGAAGGACCTTTGCGTAAGATTGCAGTGGCCTTCATGCAAGGCTGTAGTCTGGCAGGGTCTTTGCAGTAGCTCTTATTATCAGCCATGTAGGTTTCATGTAGGAGACATGCTCCTTCATTATCTCCCTTTTATTTATTTTTGCTGGGGTTGAAGGAAGCAACTCCATCTTGATTCTAGAGATGCAGCTTAGGGACCTGACTTTTTCCCCTACTGGAGGGATAACATCGTCTCCTACTCTGCCATCACATATTTTCCTACAGTCTTGTTCAGCCTGGCAGATGCTCTGGAGAAGTGTTTTAGAAAGCTCTGGGGTCCTGAAAGAGTTTTAAGAAGTACTGTTCAGGTCACCGTCTTCTACTGTCCCTGTGCGTACTTTCTCCATCACTACTATAGGAATCAGAGGCTGTGTCGCATCAGAAGCCTTTTCTGCTTTGGGGGCTCTAGCACATCTGCCAGTTTCTGCCATTTCCAGTGTGCTGAAACAAAAGGTCTGTGATTGGCAGAGGCCAGAGCCACAGAGAGGCTGCGTGAATAGTCATGAGCTTGCTGTCAGCATTCGAAAGGTATCCAGAGACACAAGCTTCTTTCCAAACACACACACACACACACACACACACACACACACACAAACCCCAAACCAATGTAATAAAGCTCCTCCTGTAACCTCCCCAGCTCTGGGATTACAGGTGTGTGCCACCACACTCAGGTTCAGGGTTTCGGGGCCTGTACAGCGCATCCAGGGTTCTGGGGCTGGCACGGCACACGGTACTGGGGATTGAACCTGGCTCCTTGTACTTGCCAGGCAGGTGCCTAGACTGCCAAGCTAGCTCCCCGCCCCATACTGTGGTATTTTTACTAGCTCATGTTCTTACAAATCTCTTCCACATATCTAGAAATGTTCAGGACAACTTGTTTTCCAAATAGCTTTGCTCCTATAGTAAGCGCACACAGGAAGTTGATGTGTGGGGAAAAACAGCCACACACAGAGATAGGTGTGTTTGTTTTCATTGACCTATTTATTTGTTGGAAGAAACCGTCGCAGCAGCTCTTGGTCACTGTGCAGGTAGTGCTCCGCATGTCAACTAACGGGGCTGAGTGCTGCTGCACCGCCAGTTACCTGTGGCTTTCGTCTGGAGCGAAGAACTGAGCTGATTTTTGCTTTAAAACTGAGCCAATTTTTGCTTTGGGGCTCTTTTGATTCCTCTGAGCGGGAAACAGACAAGCTAGTCTTGGTTACTTTTCTCTCACTGCTGGGACCAACTGCTCAGCACCCAAAATTAAGGAAGGAAAGGTTTATTTAGCTCACAGTTTACAGAGGTCTTGTTCTATAATCAGCTGGCTCCAAGGCAGGGTGGCACGGCACAGGGGCAGCAGTTCTTGGTGGAAGAAGACAGCAAAAGCAGAAAGAGAAAAAAAGGGGCAAAGGAGAGGAGCGAGCCCTTTTCCTGCCCCCCAAAAGCCCAGCTGCATGTGGCTCACAGGCACATCCAGACACCAGCCATAACAAAGGTCAAATGCCCCATGCCTGTCATAGAACAAGGGATTGCCGGGTCTTTAACACTGCTTGACATATTTGATTTGTTTTGGGTT